GAAATGCCATAGTGAAAGGCCAGCACTGAGGAAACCTGGTATCTCATGGCATATGTGAAGCAGAATGAGATAGAATCAGAATGAGGAGGAAGCTGGGAACTATAACTACTCTTCATAGGCACATCCCTAATAACCTACTTCCTCCATCTAGACTCAAACTTCTAAAAAACCATTCTGCCATAAGTACTGTTCACTGAGATAATCATAAAATTTTATGTGTAATTCTACTTATGTATGTTAACTTTATTGATGTACATGTTAATCAATTATTCTATGCCTTGAATAAACCAGCTATTATAATTTTTTATTTTAAAGATAGTAAAATACAACAAAACAAGACAAAACAAAGCCAGGCAAGACAATGCAGCAAAATTGGTACAGAACTTCAGAGCAGTATCCCGGGAAAACAATAATAGCTACCATAGTATATCTTGTCTTCACAATAGTTGTTGATTCCATCAGGTATAGCAAGATCAAACCAAACACAAAACACTATAAAAAATGAAAACAGTATTGAATAAAGCAAAAATAATCAACAAAGCAAAACAGTGAAAACAATATTGGATTTCAAAGACAAGATAGAAGGAAATCCTCCATATTATTTATATTGCATAATGCCATTCTCCCAAGAGATGCTCAGACCACTGGCCCAGGCCTGCATAATCAACCAAACAATACAAGCATTTAGTTGCTTTACACATCTTAATTGCTAGCCACTCAAGATGTGTTGGGAACCATCCAGTACGTAACGGGAGGGTGTGTGTGTGTGTGTGTGTGTGTGTGTATGGAAAGTGTCACAGGAGGTTCTCTCCCTGGTGCAAGGCTTCTGCTGCTTACCAGGAAGGCTGGATCCTTGATTTCTTTGTTGGTTTCCCAAGTCCCAGCATGGTGGATTCTCAGGAGACACTGGATCTTTTCTCTGGTGCACGTGCAGCTTGCACTGCTTACCAGAAAGGCTGGATCCTTGATTTCTTGGTTGGTCCCCAAAGTCCTAGAATGATGGATTTTCAAGAGGCCCTGGATCTTCTCTCTCTTGCTATTCTGATTTTTATTGTAGGCTTTCATAATTATTAATATTATTATACCTGTTTTTCCCAGGTCCCATAGATTCGGATATCTCATTTTCATTGATTTTAGGATTTTAAGATTCTCTATTGAGTTTTTCAGTCAACCAAAAATCATTCAGAACTATATTATTTAATTTCTATGTGTTTTTATAGTTGCTGTAGTTTTATTTTTATTTTCATTTCATTATGATCTAGTTAGATATAGAAAATTATTTTTCCATTTGGTAAAATATGCTATGTGTATTAAAATATGATCTATTTTAGAAAAAGTATTATGAGTTGATGCACAGGAAGAATATTCTACTACTAAAACAGTCTGTACCTTTCCATAAGTGTATGGTATAGTTACTTAACTCTTGCTTTTTCCACATTCATCTAATTGTGAGGATGAGTTTTTTAATTCACTCATTATTCTTGTGTTTGAATCCGTTTGTTTCTTTACATTGTGTAGTATCATTTTATTAATTTGAGTGCACTATACTTGGGTACGTTATCACTATATCTTCTTAGTGGATTGGTCTCTTTATTTGTAGTGATGTCAGTGTTCCCTTTAGCAACTTCTATTTAATTTTGCAATGGTGGCACATCTATGGCATGCATGTTGTTTGTACTTTGATATAAAAGATGTTAATATGTGAATTTTTAAACCAAAACCCCAAATTTAATTGCAGTGTTGGCACCTTATAATAACTGAGTTTCGAGGGGCAGTTTGGTTACTTGAAACTAAAATGTATCTAAATATGGTTTACAGTACACTTTGTTGGATGTGACTGTAGCAATCCTTTCTTGATTCTAGATTTGACTGGCATGGAATAACTTCCAATATTTTACTCTCTGTATGTTTTTGCCAGAGAATTCAGATTTTTAATCCAATATGCTGATCTGTGTCCCTTATTTGGAGAACTTCAGTAAATTATATTCAGCATTTGTAGAAAAAAGTTTTAAAAAGAGCACTAAAACCAATGGGAAGTAGAATTACTCTGGTTCTTTTTAGCACATTAGGGTAATTACAGATAACTAGAAATTTTTAAAAAAATCTATGATTCATTTATCTATATTTCCAACTGACTAGAAAATTTCCAAAACATAAAGGTGATTAATGTATATAGAGATAGAAATGCTTATTACTCTGATTTGTTTGTTACTCTCTTTATACAGGTATTGAATTATAATAGTGTATCCCCTGAAGATGTACAAAGACATGTCGCTAGTGGAGGTAAAAAGAAAATCAGTAACATAGGTGTTAAATTGAAAGAAAATGACAAATTCAACAATATAACAGTATATATAAAGACTAACATTTTGATCAAGTAGAGTGTTCTACACATGAAAATGTGGTTCAATATGAGAAAATAAAAAGTATAACCCACCAAATTCATGGTTTAATGAATAAAACAAATGATTATGATATTTTCCTAAAAATGTATCAAAGCTTTTCATAAAGTTATTTTAAATAATAGAGTATGTGATATTGGAACACAAATAGATACTTGCAATATTTAATATCACAGAAATAATATTGTTGGTGAGAAAATGATGGATATTTTCATAAGTCTTGCTTAGAAGCTTATTTTATACAGGTAAAAGAAATAATGTAAGGCTACTATCTCTCATAACATATGAAAATTAGCTTTAGGTGCAGTTAATGTCTGGCTCTAAAAGATAGAATTGTATTTGTCTTAGATAATAATGTATGCATTATATTAGGACATGCTTTCTGGATCAAAACCTATAACTACATGAAGGAAGTTATAGGATGCAGAAGGAAATGTGGAACTGCAATACAGTTACAGCAAACATTACAGTCATGAGTGTTATGAAGAGTCAGCGACGCTTCAAAATTGTCCTAAAATGGAGCCATAGTCTAAGCCTTTATAAACCTGCATTAAGAATCTACTGAATTTAGACTATAAATCCTAAAATGGGTTTTTAAATTTCAGTAATTCCAATTTGGGGAGCAATTAAGCTGAGACATGCATGCTTCAGACATTCTCAGCAACTTGAAAATGAGTGTCTGTTCCCAGAATGTGGTGTCCTGGAGGTATGTAATAGCGTCCATTATTGACTTCAATAGACACTTCAGTAGAAGATATCTGAACGGTCAAAAAATGTGTGAAAAAATATCTAATTTTATAGGCATTGAAGAAAATTCTGATGAAAGCCATAAAATATGTTATACACCAATAAAGTGGTATTTTTAAAAAGTTCACCGTTTGAAGATATATCTCAGTGTAGATTTTGCCTAGCACATATGAGTCCCTGGGTTACTTCTCTAGAAGTTCAAAAAAATCAAGATGGTATTATATTACCACAGATGTAGGATAATTTAAACACTCATATATTTCTGATGAAAACATAAATTGGAACAACTGCATAGAAAAAATGCTTTATCTAGCTAAATTTAAAATGCAAATACTCTGTATACCATGAATTCCAACCTTAGATATTTTCCTGAGGCAAATTCTTATACATATACATGAGACATTTAAAAGATCATCAGAATTTTGTTTTCCTAAATATTACTTCCTAATATGTAGCAATATCAGGGAATTTTAAAGTTCAAATGGATATACCTCTTTCTATAATAAAAGTATATTTGCTTATATAGTTGAGTATCTCAGAGCAATGTAAATAAAAGTACTGTGGTTGCAAATATTTTCATGGATGAACCTTATAGATATAATTCTGAGTAAAACATCAAGGCACAAATTAATACAGTAAGATTCTATTTATTTAAAGTTCAAAAACAGGTAAAAGTAAAATATTATTTAGGCTTGATTTCATCTATAGTAAGATTAGTTTCAAAACAAAGAAAATGATCATCATTGAAAATAGGATAGAAGTTACCTTTGGGAAGAATAAGGGGAATGTGATAAGGGATTGGTATCTGGATATATCTGGAGGTCTGAGCAATAAATGTTCTATTGTCCATCAGAGTAGTGGGTATATGGGCATGTACAATGTCATTATTCTTTCAATATTTGATGCATGATTTTTCATTCCCCCCCAAAATTTTTGTAATCATCTAAATGAAAGTATTCCTTTGATGTAACTGAGGAATATCATTTTTGAGCATCTAGCAAGGAGCGCCAAATAAAATTTTGAAACTTCAACCAAAGACTAAGAGATTTAGAAACTGAGAGAACATACCCTATTATCTGTAATTGCCAAGGATATGATCGAGTACAAAAGGGTCACTGTAGCTACATTTATTCATGTCTGAGACAGCACCACAGGTACACATGAATTACTTTATCTCTCAGTGACACAATGTAATGACAATTAATCTAAACTCAGAAATTGAAAAAGTAAAAAAGAATTTACATGGGGTCTTAGAAATTGAAATATAGGAGACACGGACTCAGGAAGCACTGAATTAGTATCTAGTAGAAGGCAAGAAAAAGTGAGAACTGATTTGGGCTATTGGATATTGAAAAGAAATAGGGAATATGTGACTGACAAAAGATTCAGAATGTATACATAGAATGAAAATGTCCACAAATAGAAGACCAGTAATTTCTTGACATGTATCTTGAGCCACTGAGCCCAACATAATTGTTCAATCAGTTTGGTCATTCCAGATGCCTGTGGTCCAACTTTCTATTTGACCAAAGTTCACATTTTTAGGCAATAGTTTAAATTATGCATAAGTCTTACTTCTTTAATGGCCTCCCAGTACCATTTTGAAAAACTAATGTTTGTTTCATCATAATTTTTCTTTTACTTTCCAAAAAGACATGAATAAATGGGTATTTCTCAGAAATCGATAAACACTGAGACTCAATTTTGTCAGTTGTAATGAAAATTTCATTCTGGCAGACCTTTCCAATGTCAGCTTCAAGCTCCCTCAAAGAATTCCTCTTTTTCTGTTACAGTGCCAGTATTTCTTTGATAGACCAAATCATCAGATAAGACAACTTTTCACAGCCCCACTCAGAGTTGTTATTTTTATTGGAATGTCCTTGATAATTAAAGCTGTCACCATACCCTCCTTTCTCCTCACTTCTTGAGAACAAGACTATAAATAAAGTGAGGAACAGAGGCCTTTGTCGAGAAGCCTAGCCAACTGAGACTATATGCCACAAAATTCTTTGGAATCATTTATAGAAATATGCATATGGAGCATACAGTCTTCATGAGCCTCATTCACAGATTGGATGAATATATTACCAAGAACTGAAAATTCCCAACATGTTTAAACAGAGAAATTATTGTTTATGACAGCCCGATTTCTTTGATTGCCCCATAACATTATGCAGTAATTTCATCACAACTTTACCCAGCTAAAGAGAAAGATTATTAACTAGTACTATGTTGAAACACAATTTGGAGAAGTTAAAAACATTTTATTAATAAAAAAGCACAATAATCATACTAAACAAATATCTTAGTACCTTAGCACACATTCTGCCTGGATGCCACATGGGGAGAGTTCCTTTCAGCTAGGACAGAGTAAACTCTAAGTGGCCATGCTAACTGAAGCAATTCTTGAAGCTTTTCAGGTGGAAGCCAGACATTTACATGAGACTGCTTAAAACCATGCCTCTGGAGCAGGAATTATTATAAAATACAGGAAATACTGGGTGGCACTTTAAGGCATTAAAACAATGAGGCATAAATATAAGAATCAAGTAGACTAAAGTTTACTATACTGTTTTATGCTTAAGTTAATAATGATAAAATAAATCAGTTCTTTTATTGCAAGCTTTCCCCAAAACAAGAAATAGCAAGTCAGATTCTGGCACAGCTCTCTTGCTGTAAACTCTTGTAAAAATAAATGAATAAATAAACAAAACAAAAAGGTCATAGCACTAGGAATTCTCTTTTCCTTTTTTATTTCATTTTATACAATGAAAACACCACTCAATACAACATAGGAATACGGTAATTTCCATTAATTTGGTAATTTTTACTAACTCTAGGAAATATCAGTAAATTGGACGCTTAAAAGTTAACAAAATATTATCTCTTCACCTGCCCTCAACTCATGAGAAAAACGAACAGAATTTGAAAGCAGTGTTTGAAAAATGAAGAAATATCCTGCCAGTGTTACACATTCTATCCTCTTCCAGCAGAGTCCAATCTCAAACACACTTTACCCCACTTCCTTCGTATAGTAAGTGGAGAATGAGAAAATATGAATATCAACATGCTGAAGGCAGAAGGACTTTGAGAAACTGCCTTGGTGCTTCTGACAAGATGAGACATAATGTGGTACAGCTAGTGAGATAAAAGGGAGAAACAGTTTTAAGACAATGGATTTGTACAGCTGTACCTTTAGGTATTGAAAATGAGGAAAATATGACAACTCAGTAGTTAATAACAAAGAGAATGTAAGAAAGGTGAAAATAAGAAAGATTTCAGTGGCATTTCTTTTACTTTTTATCTTTTTAAGTACTGGGCATTGAATGCAGTATTGTCACTGCATTCCCAGATCAATTTTAATTTTTTTTTTTCTTGTTTTGGGATGGAATCTTGTCAACTTGCCCTGGCTGGGCTCACTATTTCAGGGTTCTAGGTTTACTACCGGTGCCACCAGTCTTGACTTCAACTACCTTTGTTGCTGATTCAAATTTAGCCCTTATTACCTGGGAGGCCTAATTCCCTACTGCTCATGGGATAAGTATATAATTACCAGGATAATAAAGATTATAATTTATTGTTGTTCATTTAAGTGTCTTTCATCATTTTTGCCACTCAAAATATTCTTGTTCGGTAAATATTTGGAGCCCCATTTTTAGTTGGGTTAATCGAGACACAAAGAACTGATATGATTCAACTAAATTCTACTAGAGGACTGAGAAAAATATGGAAAAGAGGTAACTCAGGAAAACACTCCTGTTGTCAAAAGCTATATTCAGTAGGAAAACAGGTAGTGCCAAGATTTCTTTAAGTTGGGCTCACTTAGTTTCTTTTGTGTTAATTCTCCCCTAGTATCTAATCCGGTAATTAGCACATTATGAAATAATGCATTTCCCTGGTTTATTCAAGGTTAGCAAATTTCTAATAATCTGGCAATGAAAAATCTTTTTAGGACAAGATAGATGCCAAATTTTTGGTGTCAAGATCACAGAAATCTGATTCTAGAATTTTGCTGATACTCTGTTTCTTGAAACAGACCTTTCGGAATTCTCAAACTATTACGGTCATATGCATAAATACTGGGTTCTGTTTTGTAAAGTTGTTTACCATGAGTGTACATATTGACAAATCAGATATTGGTACTCAAATAGATGGCAACAAGTGGGACCCATACTTCTCACCACTGGAATCAGAGGAGACATATATATATATATATATATATATATATATATATATATATATATGTATATATGAAACAAGGTAGACTGATTCATGTGGATTCGAGTTGAAGACACCAATATGCACTCCCATACATCTAAACTATATGAATGATCACATAAGTTAGTGCACAAACATATATTTCCTTGTCTCGTCAGCTGAGAAGATCTTCAAACAACAGTATCTCAGCAACAACAAGCCTACCTGATGCCCAGATATTGGTTTCTAGTAACATTTGCCAGTAAATGTAAGCAGGACTCCTTTTAAAAGGATTTAGTGTAGGGATGAAAAATGATCCCATAACAGCTTGGAGTCCTAGAATATAAGGATAACCTAATAAATAAGGATGGTATGTCAAAAAGACTTGAGAGTCAACATAAAAGAGTTCCCTATGAGCAAAGCAAAAAACAACTTGGTCAGCAAAATAATTAAAGTAGTATAGAATTGCAACCTACAAATAAATATACATGAATCCATCTGAATATAAATAAACAATTTTATAAATAAATAAATGAACAAGAGACAACTCTCCCATTTAGAATAATTCCAAATAGCTTATAGAGATATTTGAAATCAAGAATATGGTGAATACATCATTAACACTTCAAATGTGGATTGTATATAGTGACTTCTTTTGAAAAAAGTATGAAAGGGAGATAAAGAGTACATATGAAAAAGATGATAAATGCTATCTTTGCTAAGTGCTCAAGCTTAACAAGAATGATATTATGTAAATATCATAAAAATCTAGCACTTTATCCTGTGATCTTCTTCCACAGAGCCCAGTTTCTTCATGGTAAAAAAAACTAGATAAATCCAAACTGAAAAACTTACTGTTCAATACTTCCAGGGCAATTGAAAACAAAGTAAATCTGAAAAACTCTCATAACCAAAAGGACCCTACAAAAATTTGATTACTAAATGTAATGTAGTATCTTGAATACTGGAAGTATAATAAAAGAGAAAAAGGATATTGGATAAAAATGAAATCAATCTGGATAAAGTATGAACTTCAATTAATATTAATACATCAATATTATTTCATTAATTGTAACAGATGTACAATAATAGTGTTCAAAGTTAATAACACATGAAACTAGATGCAAGGTATAGGGGAATTATTTGTACTATCTTCACAATTTTTCTGTAAACCTGAAAGTGTTTCAAAATGTAAAGTTTATTTTAAAATATTTTCATGTCGCCAATATTTATATTTTAACCACAAAACACTCCACTAATCTACCCTACAAGTTCACATTTCATGTAATTTTTCTTAAACTTTACAATCACAATTATAAAATAGTTATGTTCAACTTCCAATAATCCACAGATGGAGAAATTCCACTGCAACAAATCCCAGGATATTATACAACCTTATTAATATTAAGGCCATTGCTATGTCCTAGGCAACTGTCATGCTAACTGTGCTTTGTTGATATAAATACACCAAATTCAATGAAATCCAAAATGTTTCTGAAGTGAGATACTTTTTAGTATCTCACCATCTACTTACTAAAATTTTTACATGCTTTTGGTGCTGTAACTCTTCAATAACACTGTATTTGAATTTATATACCTTATGAAATACCTTTATAGAATTCTAACACATTCCTTAAAGTAAATTAAATCATTCAAAAGTTTTTGTTTTGTCAGTGGGTAGGAAAAGGTAACAATAAAAATAGAGTTAGAATTGCTTCTTGACTAAAGCGAATTACTAACAGTCCCTTACTATTTTGCAGAAAAAATTTAAATAAATCTTACCCTGCATATTTGTCAGGGACACCAATATTTTGGATACTTATTTAATCATCTTAATTACTTATAAATAGAACATACACCCAATGCAAATGTCTTGAGATTTTAGGGTCAGAGATCAGTTATGAGATCTAGAAAAGGAATCAGTATCCAAACCATGGAGGAAAAGGTTAAACCTTTGAGCTCTACTTTGAAATACTGTACAAGCTACACAATTGTAAAGCTTGAATGTATGTAAGATGGGAATCCACCTTTTCCAAATGATTTCATAGCTACTCAGAGGTTCTAAACAGCATTTAAGCCCTAAGTATTCCCTACTGATTCAGTAATTAGTTCATAGCTTGGACTTGTATATCTAAAAGTAAGAAAAGGCCCATGACAAAATAATAATGATAATAGTAAAATCCTACATGTTATTTCAAAACTGTAAGTAGTCCTTATATTTATAGAGGGTTTATGGTCTGGAAAGACATTACAAATTGAAATGAGGTAAATAAAAATCTAGGTATTACAAAAGTTTTAGAATTAAAAATCTGTGTGTCTAATGTTATATGGCAATAAGTACAAAGACATTTTTTCAACTGTGAATGGTTTTTTGTAGTAAAAGTTTTGAAAGATAACATAAAATTGGATAAATATTATGTCCAATCACGTAAAATTTTCTTTTTGCTTGTTTTAATTGTGTCATCTCTAGGGGAATGGGTGTGCAGGTTTATAAGGCCTCAAGAAAACGTTTGCAGAACTTGACCCATATTTATCACCTCTCTTAAATATGAGAGATGGGTAGGAATAAACATTATAAAATCCCTTTTGGGTGCTAGAATTCTATGGTTTAATTAGTATGGACATCTTAAGAGGTAGTAACCTAAAACATTCAGGCAGGGATTCGATAAGTATCTGCCAAGGAAAAAGGGTTCAATAAGAAGATAATCTTTAGGAGACAGGCTGAATTGACTTCAATTTTTACAGTGCCCCACTCACTTTATCCTGGAAGGGGAAATACATCTCATGGAAGTAGATCTGCGATTCAGGGATAGAAATAGGATGTATAGCCCAAAGGACATTATGAAACAGTCTGACTGGACAACCAAATGTGTGTATTATGCAATCTGCTGTAATGGCTAAAAGAAATGGCTTAGGTGTTCATTACAGTTATAAAACTTCAAACTGCCTTTTTAAAGTTAATTTTTACCAAAAGTTTCTTATATTCTTTATAAAACACAGGAATAAGTGCCAAGAATGTCATGCAGTGAACACAATTCCTTTCTTCCAACTTCTCACCTCTATATGGCATGGCCTCTGTGTGATTCTTCATTATATACCAGACCAAATTTGTTTATGTAAACAAAGGGATAAACAGTAAGAAGCCATCCCACAAGAGACCTCAAAAGGCTGCCATTTGAACGAGATTTGTGATTAATATCACTGTTGCTATCCTTTTTAAATGAAACTCACCTCTTATTAGCCATCAGGTTCATTCTAAGTCTACTTGTTCTTGTCACTGATTGGCATATTTATTTCAAACCCTTGTCTATTTTACAACTGTCTTGATATACTTTGAACATTTGCCCAAATGTAACCTAACAAAGAATGTAACTGTTTCACAAAATCTTTACTCTCAAAGCACGTGGAAGATGAAGAAAAAGATAAAATTTCTTTATTCCCTTTGATGGGTTTAAAAAGAAGCACCAACACTGCCTGAAAACCAACCATAAGTAGAAATAAGGTTGAATTTATAAAACTTTTGAAGTTTGGTATAAGGCTGAGAATGTTCCCTATCAGTAGGTTGCAAATCTCTCTAACTAGTGTAGTATACCTATCAACTACATATTTATCCTTTGTCCATCCCAGAATTGAAACAATCATATTAAACAATCATAAAAATGGGTAAAATAAAGGGAAAATGAAGCAGCAGATATTTGTTCACAGCTTTGAGTTTGATTTCTATTTTGTTATTGTAGGAAGAATGTCTATTTCAGAGGAGGGGAGATTGGGGTTGGGGCAGCCATGGGTGCCACACTAGAATTCAACCCAGGCAGAGGCTGAAAAAAGTTAAGTCTAGATAGAGTGGAGGTGAAGATGGATTATAAAGGGTCCCATGGAAAGCCAGCTATCTTTTCTCCAGTCACCTCAATCTGGCTCAGTAGGCTGCTCCAACCCCATTGCAGAGGCAAGTCCAAGTCAAAAAGCAAAATAGGGTTGTGTATACACGGGAAATAAACCAGTACAGCTCCTCTGGAGTGACCTGTGGTGCTTACATGGTGTCATGGCGTCGGCGGTGCAGAGACAGGTGGTCAGATCGAGAAAAGCTGCGGTTGCAGTCTGTGCACCTGAAGGGTTTGATGCCTGTGTGCTTACGGAAATGGCGTGTGAGCTCATCTGAGCGAGCAAATTTCCAGGAGCAGCCATCCCAGGTGCATTTATAAGGTTTCTCTCCTGAAAAGGGAATATAAAAAAAGAAAGGAAATCAGAGAGGAGATGATTGGCTCCAAGAAAGGTAACAGAACACATACATATCTTTTATCAAACCTCTAGTCTAAAGATGGAGGCAAGCCAGGCATAATTATGCAAGTATGTAACCCTAGATATTCCAGAGACTGAAGCAGGAGGACTGCAAGTTCAAAACCAACTTGCACACTTTAGGGAGGTTTTGTTTCAAAAATTAACAAAAAGAAACAGGTCAGGTGTGGTGATGAATGTCTATAATTCCAACACCCTGGAGGCTAAGCCAGAAAGATTGCCATGAGTTTGAAGCCAGTTTGGGGTATAGAGTGGCTTCAGGGCCACCCTGAACCACATTAGGATATACCATCTTAAAAGATCAAAGGAATTAAAACTAAATGCATCAACATTGTTGGGTCTATAACTCACTATCAAAGTGATTCTCATGCATGAAGCTCTGGGTTCATTCCTTAGTATCACAAAATGGAGAAGGATCAACAATCACATTGAGGGCATGTTTTACACCTTTTTAATTAATTGGAACATATATATATATATAGTACAACATGATGTTTTGCAATATGTATATATTGTGAATTGGCTAAATCAGGGTACTTCATATATATATATATATATATATATATATATATATAAATATATATATGTGTGTGTGTGTGTTACCTTATGTACTTTTTTGGTATTGAGAACACTTAAAATATATTCTCTTATAGATTTTAAACAGTAAAATACGTTGTTACTCACAGAAGTCCTAAAGAGAGGTTATTGTGGCCTATATCTAGATGTTTATTCAAAGCCTCATGCTTTCAAAAGTGAGGCTAGTTCTACAGTGTGTGATACAGGGATTAGGGGTGTGTGGTACTAAATTTATTCCACTGATTGGAATTAGCATAGTTCTTTGTGTGGCTGAATGGATTTACTAAAGATAAATACCTCACCCTTGTTGTGGGTGGCACTGCTCAAAGGGTACATAGCATAGATAGAATAAGGGGAAAGGCAGCTGGCTGCTTTACTATACTGCCTCCTGTCTATCCTGACATGGACTACTCCAATTTTGTGATGCCATTCTGTCATGTAAGTCTGCCTTAGAATCAGTAGACTGTGGGCTGAAACTATAAACTAAAATAATCATTTCCTTCTTTAATTTTGGATACCTGGTATTTTGTCTCAGCAAAGAGGAAAGTAATTAAGGAAGAGGCCAAAATAATAGATTGAAAAACACATCAAACAGGTCTTTATTTGAATTCAAACTGCACACAAACCACACTAGTTTTGGGTTCGTAAATAATCCATAGCAAAGTCTTTGTTCCCTCGATTCTCATGGGGTGTGGTGAGTAAAATTATCTCCCAAGACTGTTCAAAATGTTTTTTTTTTTAAAAAGATAGTTGTCAAGCAATAGAACTGGTATCCAAAGCTGAAGTCTTTTGACACTTCATCAATGTACTACATTGTAGTAATTGTATCTTTTTCTCTAATATCTCTCATAAAACAGCATAAAATATAGCTATACACACAAAAAATTTGATTCAAAGAAAAAATGTTCGACTAAAGCTACAGACTTTTTCCTGTGTAATGCTAGAAACTCATGTCTATGGAATGGCATGGAGAGAGATGACAGACCAACTTTTTAAAATATAACTCAATGCTCAGAATCTTTAGGTTTCATCTGAGTTACATATGGGATGTGTATGTTTAAAATATGAAGCTAAAGGGAAAAATAGTATAAAAATCTGAAGCAAGATATTGCCTCCCTTTCTCTATCTGTATATATATAATCCTACATATGCATACATTCAGAATACAGGCAATATCAATACACATAAATGTAAATCATTAGAAAAACTGTTAACATTTAGCAAACAGAAGATGAGAGATGGTGAGAGGAGGGCTATTTCTTTTTATTTTATATCTTTTGGTATGGTCTGAATGCATTAAATTTATATCTTCTATAAAATTTTAAAATCGAAAAAGAAAGAAATTATGAGTGCAAATAAATACTCATTTAGTCTGTTATATGATTAGGGTCATATTTGTTCTCGTAATATAGTTCTCTTCTTAATCTATTGCAAAGAATATATATTATTTTATGTCAGAAACAATGGGGACACAAAATGCACTGGTATTTTAATGCTCTGTCTTCTGGATCCTATTCTACTTCCTTCTCATAAATTTTCTGGGGCATTGAACTTTTTGCTACTTTAAATTCTAGTGGTAACCTGGTTTGCACAGACTGTTTTCAATTTAATGCTGACCACGGACTAATCCTGTCAAGTGTTCACTAACTATATAACTTCCATATAATGAACAGCAGAATGGAATCCAACCTAAGTCAGAGCTTTGGATCATATTTAGACAATAATTTTGATGATTAATGTAATTACTGGTTATGTCAATATTCAGAAACTACATTTGCTGCTAATAATAAGAACTGAATATTTTGAGAAAACAGATGGTCTATGAAATGTTATCAAATACGAAAAATTATTGAATGACTAGATGCATGCACACACACACACACACACACACACCTCAGACAAATGGACATTTGGATAGCTAAATAGAAATTTATTAACAGTATGAAAAAGAATGAAATTTCAGTGTTAGAGGGTGTATAAATGAAATTTTTACTTTTTGAAGTCTATAATTTTATGCTATCCACACAACTTTGATGTCGATATCTATATATTTTTGTGGCCTCTTAAGAATTTCTCATAAGAATTCCTGTATTTGCTACAAACAAAGGAACTAAAACTGACTTATGAAGCAGTCACACCCTGTTGTGATCAAGACTCATTTCCTATAACACACAAATTGTAACAACTCAGCAGAGACCCATCTACCTATATAATTGGAGCTAACTTTTATTATCATTGAACAAGCTTCCCTTTTACCTAACTTCACATGACACAAACCATAATGTTCATCAACTTATCATCTAAAAGAATCAAATATATAAACAGAAAAAATTAATTCACAATATAAAATATATACACTATGTGACAAAGACAGCCCATCGCTAGATCTTTTGGGTGGTGTAAAAACATTGAGATGAAGACATGACTATGTAAACAAGCTAAAGGTGAATAGATCAAAAGGTGAGTAGGTCAAAAGGCATAAAGCAAGCCAGTCTACTAGGGTCAAGGTCCTGTAAGGCAATGCAGTGAATGGTACATAATATTAACCACCTTTGCAAACAGAAAATCTTTATAATAGTACTATGAGATGATTCAATCATGAAAAACAGGTTGAAACTTTGGACTGATTAAGAAAGATAATTTAGACTTAAACATTATAGGTACTAATACAAAAATAGGATGTGGTCAGTGGGAACAGTTTTCCCTATCTACAGATTATAACTGAGATGCACTGATGATAGAAAATTTTAGAATAATAATAAAATATACTAAAAGTTAGTTTGTTGAATCATCCTCATGTCAACTTTAAACCATGTAAATGGTACCTCCCCACCCAGAAAGACAGCACCCACTGTCTTTCTCTATTTCATGGTACACTACCTCATGAAGACACTGGAGTTTATGTTGGGTTAACACTGAACATTTCTTTAATTTTAGAATTTTTTACTCAAAATTGCAAATGAAAATTATCTACCCATTATGTATAATGTGCATTGCATTGATTAAGAGGTCACTGACACATAAAATAGGTGATAAGATCAATTATTTCTTGAATTGATAGAGGGTTCAATAATAAATGTAAGAAAAAAACCTAAGGGAGTAAGGCTAGAATTGAACAGATCTTTTTAAATTTTATTTAAAGAGAAACAAACAAACAAAAATACTTGGAGAAAAAAGGGTAGAAATAATACAGAATTACAGAAAAATAAATGGTAAGAAATCAACAGTTGATAAGTTACATATTGTCATCTTAGAAACAGTTGTTCAGGTTACAAAATTAAAGTATGTAAAGTGACATTCAAATAGTGATACTGCCAACAGTTCTGCTCAATGATCTAACAAAAACTTAGTAATATGGTTATCAGTCCTACACACTTGCTTTTTTTTATCTTAAAGAAGGTAATATTAAACATATCAAAATGGAATAAAACAGTTCAAAAAGAAACAATTTAAAGAAATACAGATTTCAAAGCAAGTCCACTGGAAAGCTTCACTGTTTATCTAATTGACTCTAGTTTCTTACCAAATAGTTGTCTCCATCTTCACGCACATTGAATACACACTGCATATTATAGAACTAATCAAATCATTACAGGATGATGAAGGCTTTTTAGGTCTTCAAGATTTCACATTGGGGAAGACAATAATAACTACATGGTGTCTCTCATTCTCTTCATAGTAGCTCTTATCTTTACATATGCTGAAATTGAACTTAAAAGACTAGACTAATATGACTCTGAACAGTGAATAATAGTATTGCTAGATTTTATACCATAATGCTACAGAATTAGCATTGGGTTTCCTAGTGTCTCTTCTTCTTCAGTGTATCTGTTTATTACATCTTGCACTATATAATCTGTTCCCATAAGTATTTTTTTTTTGTCTTTGTCAGTACCAGGAATTGAACTGACAACTGCACCCTTGCAAGGAAGGCGCTTATGCCACTGAGATAAATCCCCAGCCACTCCCATAAATATAGTTTTAAAAAAAAATCTTCCCATGTGTGAATTTGTACATGTATATCTATCCTCTCTGTATTACAGGAAAAACAAATCATAATAAGAAAGCAAAACAAATTCCTAGAAAGACATGCAATGAAAAAGACACATAAGACCACAATATTAGGTGATCTACCATAATTACTATTCCTTCTCTTGTTATTTTCAATAGACTTGTCCACATCATCAGGCTTAATATAGTTAAGCATAGTATTACATAGCTATTTTTATAACAACATAACTTTGAAAACATTGTAGGACTTGAGAGCTGTTAATAATCAAAATTGGTATGGATATCTTTTATATCTTGTCATCTTCAGAGTACTTGCCTCTACTTTTAGG